GTATTCACCAATGACCTGGAGGAAGGGACAGAGTGCACCCTCAGCAAGTTGGCTGATGATACGAAACTGGGGGGAGTGGCTGACACACCAGAAGACTGTGCTGCCATTGAGAGGGACCTGGACAGGCTGGAGAGCTGGGCGGAGAGGAACCTCCTGAAGTTCAACAAAGGCAAGTGCAAGGTCCTGCACCTAGGGAGGCATAATCCCACGCAGCAGTACAGGCTGGGGGCTGACCTGCTGGAAAGTAGCTCTGCCGAGAAGGACCTGGGAGTCCTGGTGGACAACAAGTTGAGCATGAGCCAGCAGTGTGCCCTGGTGGCCAAGAAGGCCAATGGTCTCCTGGGGTGCATTAGGCAGAGTGTTGCCAGCAGGTGGAGGGAGGTGATCCTGCCCCTCTGCTCAGCCCTGGTGAGAGGCCTCACCTGGAGTACTGTGTCCAGTTCTGGGCTCCCCAGTACAAGAGAGACATGGAGCTCCTGGAGAGAGTCCAGCGGAGGGCTACAAAGATGATTAGAGGACTGGAGCACCTCTCCTATGAAGAAAGACTGCAAGAGCTGGGCCTGTTCAGTCTGGAGAAGAGAAGATTGAGAGGCGATCTCATCAACGTGTATAAGTATCTGAAGGGGGAGTGTCAAGAGGATGAGGCCAATCTCTTCTCCGTGGTGCCCAGTGACAGGACAAGAGGCAACGGGCAGAAACTGAACCCCAGGAAGTTCCACCTAAACCTGAGAAAAAACTTCTTCACTGTGAGGGTGACAGAGCACTGGAGCAGGTTGCCCGGAGAGGTAGTGGAGTCTCCTTCCCTGGAGATATTCCAAACCCGCCTGGATGTGATCCCGGGCAGTGTGCTCTAGAGGTCCCTGCTTGAGCAGGGAGGTTGGACTAGATGATCTCCAGAGGTCCCTTCCAACCTCAACCATTCTGTGATTCTGTGAAATTCCAAAATGAGGTTCTAGCTTCCTTATCAAAGAATGTTGCTCAGCTCTGCCCGTTGATAATTCTTTTATTGTAATATCTATCAGAAGGAAATGTGCAGCACATACAGGCCAAGATAAGGGCACAGGCTGGCACCACTGAAGTCAATGTGAATTTTGGCACTGAATTCAGTGAGCTCTGGTTCACACAGTAAATGAAATTGAGTACTTAATTTGTTCCTGTTCTTTGTCTAAGCAGGGGCCCAACCTACATAGCAGCACTGGAACCCCTTCGGAAAACTGCTAAGTAGATGTCATACCTCATTACCCTTCACACTAATTAATTCTCCTTTGAACATGGCAAAGATGGACTCACTTCCTTTTCACACAGCTCAAATAGTGCAAAAACTGCATATGTATTTACATTCCTGAATGCACATATGTTAGCAAAGTTTGAACTGAATGCCGTGATTGCTCAAAAAAGGAGGCCTAGAAGGCAGATTAGGGTGCTGAGCAGTGTTGTGGAAGGGAGAGTCAGTCTACTGACTATGCTGAAAATTCCATCTGTTCTCAGCAGCAGATGTCATCAGATTGCTGCTGCTCTGTATCGGAACAGAGAGAACTAGGGCAGTGTTGTTGTGTCCATGTTTGTTTACTTCAGTGCTGTACGCAGATTCTCATGCACTTTTTCTCCAGTTATTTGTGGCTTGTCTGCCTCTTATGATAATGAAGATGCAGAGAGTGTGCTGATTGTGTGGTATTTATGCCGAGTAGAAAGAGACATTTACTTCCCTTTTGTCTCCTTTCTTTTCAGTAAAAGCGTTTCACCCCAATTGCCTATTTTTGACCGCTTGGCAGCTCCACGGGCTGAGGTGAGTACTCTTGTACAATCCACCACAGGGTAGGAGAATAAACTCCTTTTTACTCTGCTGTCTCTCTGGTCAAGATGCCTTTTCCAATTAGAGATCAGGGAAAGAAGAGAAAGTGAAATCAGCACAGGAAAGTAATTACTTTTTAATAATAGGGAATGAACCAAAGGATGGAAAAAAGCCTAATTCCCCCTTACCTGAGTAATAAGAAGGTCCATTCTGAGTTCAGAATGACAGGAGGTTCAAAATTGAGAGGTAGGTAGAACTCACTGCCAAATGATCCACATTTGCGTAGTGATACCCATAAATAAAGCAAGCACAAGCTTCAGTCTCATGGACTTCAGCATGTGTTTAAAAGCTTTGCTGGTGAGATATCCTAGTAATTTCTGTTATATAAGGGTTCTACTGAAAAGTACCTATGCCATTTTCTTGTGCTGTATATTGTCGTGATATTAAGCATGTAAACTGCCTTGAAATCAGTCCTTATTTGAGTATGGACTTACTTTCTAGAACATGTGACTCTTTCATGTAAGGTTACAAAAAAATATGGAATTGTTTTGAGGATTTTTTTTTTTTACGCTAGTGGTAGCAAGTCTTGGATCAGTCATAATTCCTGGGTTTTATCTACTTTTTTATTAACATTTATTATATGTACAATAGCTTTTAAATAGATGGAAAAAGGCTTTTGAAAGAGCTATTATATAGACTTATCAGCTGCTAGCAAACCAATAGTCATTGTTCATTTTTTATTAGGAGAACCCTAAGCCTTTATAAGGCACTCAAATGTGGCATTAATGAGACCCAAAGAACCATTTCACCACGGAATAAGGGACATCTAATTTTTGCTCTTCTAGCAGTGTTTGAATGGCTACTATGTTCTCTAGAACAATGGGGAAGATGTATGTTTTTGATAACTCAGCCACTTTAATTATTAAAGAATAGCTTGTTAAGTTTAAGCTTGTTATTAGCTTGTAAACATGTGCTTTCCTCCTTTTATTTTCCTGAAGGGGGCATCTAAGTTCTACTTTAACTGTACGCCAATTTCCCGGACTTCCTCTAATCTCTCAATTGAGCAAATAGGCCTGAAAGCTAGTAGAGCTGTAAAAAGAACAGCTAGTTATCCTTAATTTAGGACATAACTCTTTTGTAACTTTTTAAGGCTCTCTGTGATATCTTGCAGCAAATCTGAAGGCTATAGAACTGCAGCCAGAAATAATATCTATTTTTTGGATTCTCAAGGTTTCAAGTTGTCAAGTTTCAAGTTGACAGTTGTCTTTAGCTCTGTTGACTTACTTATTTTTATATGTTTCCACCTTCTTTATGTTTATTTAGCTGGTGGTCAGTGTTCTGCTGCTTTAAGAATCCAAGCAAGTAGCCTTTTCAGAGCCATGTTTATCCTATTGCTTTCACTGTTTCTTCAAAGCCTTCTTGCCTGTACTGAGTGAAATAGTGAGAATTGCAGACTGCAGTTTTGTGTATGACCTTACCCCAGAACTAGATCTATGATGATGAAGTGTGTACTATCCTGCTTGTTTATGTTGTGTGTGTGCAGCTCAAGAACAGAACACACAAGGCAGATTCACTTTTGTAATTCCATAAATTAATAATTTCAGAGTTATTACTTTCCTTAGGCACTGTTTGATTTTTCTGGAACCAATAAACTGGAGCTCAGCTTCAAGAAGGGGGACTTGATCTATCTACTCAGCAGAGTAAACAAAGACTGGTTGGAGGTAAGACTGCAATAGCAGTACTGAATTATTAGCATGCTTTGAAATATATGACTAGAAAGAACTATTTTGGTCCTTGATACCTGTCTCCTTCTTTCAAAGAGCAACTGTATCATAATCAGGCATTACTGTGAGGGAAATGTCATTGACTCCAATTTGAAGATTGCTCCCTCTCTGATGGTTTTTAGATTACAAATTTCCTGCCCTCTGTTCTTCAGTTTTCATTTGCATTTGCATCTGCCAGAATGTTCTTTAAATTCTTGGGAAGTGATTAGAGCACAAAAAGGCCACAAAAAGGAGCTGGAAATTCTATTTCAGGGATTAATAGGTTTCTTGCCTTAGGTTAAGTTGCTATTTGCTTCATGCCTCATACCACAACACACGTCAGCCTGATTATAGAGAACTTGGGCAACAGAGCGGTGTTCTGAAAAAGGATGAGGAGAGCGTACTGTGTGTTTCGTGATATGATATCTCTGCTTGCTCAAACACCACAGCTTTCCTTGGTAACCATTTGACTTTCATATATTGCACATTGTTTCACTTCCCTGCCAGGTATTTGATTACCTAATCTTATAATCTTGTTATAGAGATAACATCAGGTGAATTTCATAGCTTTTTGTTTCTTTTCTTTTTGAAGTAGAAAAATTCTGATTGTTGTTCCCATGGAAATTAGTTTAATTCCAGAATTTATAATGTATAGCTAAAATAGCATTTTTTTTTCATTCTAATGCTTCCTGTCATTCCAGGGAACAGCTCATAGTGCCACTGGGATTTTCCCCTGTGCTTTTGTGAAGATCATAAAAGACTTACCACAGCAGGAAGACACCGTTAATAGAGTGCGCTGTTATTACCATGAGGAGACAGTGAGCACTATCAGGTAATAAGAAAATGGTCTTCCAGGTTACTGCTGAAGAGATACTGATAATTCTCTTCTCATGATATGTAATGATACTGTTTGTTCTTGTTACAGGGATATCTTGGTGGAAGAGGATCTGAGCAGCATTCCATTATTCAAGGATCTTTTGGAATTAATAAGGTACAGAGCAAGCAGATAGTTGTATATTTAATACCAATCAAAACTTGTGTCGTGTTCCTTCCAGGCCTAGATTTTATGCATTCTATACATTCTACCTGACTATGACCATGTTTTGGGTGCGTAACACTTTTGAAGTGTCCAGAAGAATTATTTGTACTTTGACTTGGCCTAGTGCCATCTGTGCAGACACTAGTTTGCCTTCAGATTGTCAGCAAGTGCTGAATGCCACATGCTTCCAACTCAACTGTCCAGGGTAGAATTCAGTATCTGTTTCTTGCTCGAAGACTGGAGCCATGCTCCCAAGCAAGAATCTTTTGTCTAATACACTTGGGGATGCAGGACACCACCATCTAAAGCCTGTAGATCATTAAAATAGTGTTGAACTTTAAAAGATGTTGACCTGTCTCAACATTCTTCCATTACTTAGCTTGCCCTCCCCTCCAAAAAAGTAACCATAAATAGACAAAAGGGGGAGTAACTACAGTCAACTCTTGGTTATATATGGGCATTTTATCAGACTTAATTAGTTGTGCCATGCACATAGATTTACTGGAGATGGTCCATAGTCCTGACAAATTTGTTAGTTTAGACATAATACAGTGTGGATGTGGCTATATGATTTCCACTGCTAGCTCTGTATCAACAACACTGTGACACCAAAGGCTTAGTGTAGCTCTGGCAGGTTTAATTAGATTTCCAAGGTATTGTTTACCATGCAGCACCTTCCAGGGATTCTTTGGTTGCTAGGGTTCAATCCCTTTCTTTTCTGTCAGGCGGGAGTTTGACCAAGATGACATTGTTTTGAATTACCGGGACCGTGATGGTGATCTGATCCGGCTGCTCTCTGATCAAGATGTTGAACTCATGGTGTCTCAGAGCAGGAGGAAGCCCACTGAGAAGCATATCTTCCCTTGGAAGTTGCACATCACTCACAAGGATGACTTAAGTGTCTATAACACTAATCCAGGAATAGGTGCTATTCAAACAGTAAGAACAATGTGACCACTGCAGAGAGATGTTCCTGTAGGTAGCTATATCATCCCTCTGTGATTGCCCCTCTGCAGCTAATTTTCTTTAACAAATGTTTGAGGTGAGCTTGAAACAAATAACATTTAGTAATGTAATACCTTTCAATATAAAATCTGTACCTAGTTAGCTTCTTCAGCTTTTCAATGCTCCTGTGTAATAAAGATATCTACATGAAGACCAGAGAAACTAATGAACAGAAAAATAAAATCACTGGCTATGTTCACAAAGGAAGTCTATGCTAGCCTGAAATAGAGGTTTGGTGTCCTGAGCTCCAAGACCATCTTTAATTTCCATCCTCTCTCCTAGAGCCACTTATTTGCCCAGAATGTCTTCATAAGCTTTTTTTCTAGTACTAGCATAATTTTCTCTTCACTTGCTGGAATGAATGTTTGTTTGCTAATGCTTATGAATGCAGTAATTATTTCTGATTATTTCTGTCATCTGGGAGTCTGACTGGGTATTCAGAGTTTGTTATGGAAGCATAAAGAAAACGTTCTGTTATTTCAGTGAAGAAAGTGCAGCCTACCTTTGCTTTCTTCTTTCCATTGGGCAATATTTTAAATTCTGTACATTAAACCGAGTTCCAGTGCTGTGTTACTCATAGGCTTTTTGTAATTGTACAGAGTATTTATTTCACATTCTGGGATAATTTGTGTGATGCCTATCCAAATAACAATTTATTTGCTGTCTATTTCTTCTTTTGCTTCCTGACACCATATCACAAAGCAGAAGTAACACAAAATTACTGTATCAGATTCTTCAACAAGTAAAGTTGCGTATTAATTTATTTTATCATTTTCTATTCAAATGTTTATTTTGGTGATGAAACAATTCTCCTTTTTTTTCTTGACAATAAGGTAATTTTGAAGAGTTTGAATGTTTCTTTTCAGCCTTCCTTAAGCACAGAGTTAGTCATTAAAAAAGGTCTTACAACTGTTTCTTTAATTGGCAGGCAGTCAAAAATATTATATTCCTGAACAAATTTTTTGCTGCTTGTATTACTCATTTTATGTATGTTTTACACAAATTGTATCATACCTAAGATGCTATATTTTAAAAACACCATGCAGTCATGTAATTAAAAGGAGACTGTCACATATAAATATAATCAGTAAATATAAGAAATTAAAAGAGGTTCCAAATGCCACGCTTTGGATTCAGCTGTTAGTTTCTGTGACATTAAACTACACATCTGCTTTTAAGAAATATCTGTCCTTAATCTACTGCTAAAACTCATACAGAAAAAAGGGAAGATTAGATTGACTAAGAGTCAGGTACTAAGAGTCAGTTATCTAACCATGTGTAAATAACTCACCACTCCCAAAACTGGCAAAATAAGGTTTTCTTTTTCCTTTTTTTCTTAATTGTTACCTGTAATGCTATCAGGTAGCAAGATTTTCAACAAGAACAACAAAAAGTTAAAGATGACTTATCCTTTAAACTTTGGCTTTTTTTCCTGATATATGTACATATATGAGTTTATGCATATAAACTTGAATAGTCTCTTATCTGCAGCCTTGAATGAATATAACAGTGTATTGGAAATAAAGGAAAGAGTTTACATTTAAAGATAAGCACATACTTTGCCAGATTGGGATCCATAGATCATTTATTGTGTCATACTTTATTTATTAAGTGCATAATTCTATCTATATATTAATGCTATACAGACTCATATAAGAAAATGCTCCTTCTCCAAAGAGTTGTAAGGTCTGCTGCAGGCCACCTATCTATTCCAGGTAAAAAAGTTCTAGCTGATTAAATCCACACATACTAAATTTCAGAGCTAAATAACATACGTTCAGAAGAGACACAGATTATGCTTTCCTTTTTCCAATGGTTGAAGCTTTAATGGACATTATTTTATTAAAATGTTATAAAATTTAACTTCCTGCTTTAAAGGCATTGTAGGAATGCAGCGGGGGAAGGAGATGAAACAATGTACAATGATAATGTTAATAGTCTTACAGTGTGTTCTTTTATGCATCAAGAGATGTCAGTTAGCTGAAACCTAGTTAGCATGCATGGCTTGCAAAGCTTCTGATGTGCAGGATCACCTGTCCCCTCTTGCTGGAGTTCAACAGAGCAAAGAAATTCTGAAGATTTTTGCTTACTGCTAGATCCAGTGAGGGAGCCAGTGATTTGTCAAGCTTGTCTGAAGATGGAGGGGCTGTTTGAGTGAGGAAGGAAAGGAAGGGAAAACATTTGCTAACAAACAAAATACGTATCTTCTATAACCTGGCTGGCCTCTGAAAATCAGAGCAGGAGAATTCTTGAAACTTTTCCACCTCTGTACTGTAATGTGAAGTAAATTCTGCCTACCCAGCAAAATGTCATATATTTCTTTCCTTATTTGCCAAGTTTTATATGCGCACCTCCTTACAATCCCAATGATACACAAATTCCCTGAATTTTCTCATATCCTCCTCCTTGCTCCACAGATGCTTGCTTTATACTCAGTATACTTTGTTCCCAGTATATTGGTGTAGTTCTTGCGTAAGCCTAACATGCTAACTGTGGTTTTTTGTCACTACTACGTGGATTTAGAGAAAGCCTAGTAGCAGTGCAGGACAAACAGACTCAAAAGTTACATTCTTTATCTGAGGACTCACCTTAGCCCCTTGTAGTTTATGCCTGAGAGCTTAAACTTGAGTGTCTTTCCCTTCAGTCTAGCTTACTTTTTTATGGACCTTACTGTTGAAGGCTACTGGGTTAAGCTTCACAGCTGGATTTAAAACAGTGTGGCTGTCTTGGATGTTGGATAATTTCTGATCAACTCTTCTGTCCAGTTTTCTTTTTTCCCTCTGGATACTCTAATAATCATAATTTATTATTAATTCTTGTTGAGATCAGTAAACCTTAATTTTTTTTTAAGATAGCTGTAATTAACAGGATTACATGGATAATGGTAGTCTGTCCTTTTTTCATATATATATGAATGTATATATGTAAAAATAAATATAATATATGAACGCATAAATAAATAATGATCCCTGCCTCAAAGTTTGTCTAGACTAGATTAAAGCAAGAAAGAGTATGGGAATAAAAAACAAAGAATTCTTTGCTATTCTTTCTTACTTCTGCTGCAGTCATTCCTCCCTTTTTCTCTCCCTCCGTTTTCCTGAAAATACATTAGTTCCACAGTCTGCTAATTTGAAAATGCAGATGAGCAGTGACATACTTCCTTCCCCTCCCTTTCCAGTTAAATAGTTCATCTGAATAAGTGCCTTGGGGACTAAAATAGGAAGTGCAGACTGTACAGTTACACAGGCAACTCCTTTATTTGAAAGGGTGTGGTGTACTTCTGTAGAAGGGCCATTTCAGGTGCCTAGAAAGTATAACGGTTATGTTAAAGGCTAAGTTTGCAAGAAAATCCTTCGGTCAGCTTTGTATCTCCCACCTCCAGTCTGGGTAAGTGTGATTTTGCTAGTTTTTGCATCTGCATAGAGGATTCTGATGTTGTGGAGGAAGGGTGGAAAGGAAGAATCGCCCATCAAGTTGAATCACCTGCTTCACAGGCAGCTCTGATTCCAGGTAAAGGTACTGTTTCCTCTCTGGAGAAAGCAAAATGGCAAAGAGAGTCTGCTCTCAAACAATAATTTGGGAACTACTTAGGGATCTGTTAGCTGTGATGGTTATTCAAGGGTTTAGCCAGTTCCTTCTGGTGTAAAGAAATGTCATTCAGGAATCTGAAAATCAATAGAAGTTAAAAAGGGGCTTTCTCCATGTTCCCCTAATGTGGAAAAGAGCTACAGACTAGAGGTTCTAGCGGTTACTAGAGTTGAGACAAGAGTCTCAACTCTGTGGCATACATGGACAAGCGGGTCTATTTCACTTTTGAGAAACCAATGAGAAATGACCAAAATCACTTGAGTTACAGTTTTGTAGAATGTGGCCCATAGGCTTTGAACTACTGACATCTACTCTGGATCTTTATAATCACCAGAAAAAGAGCAATGAAGTTCCTTTGGGATCATTCCTATAATTTGCAATTTGTTTGCGGAACAGCTGGAAAAGTAGCTTATTGAAGAGAAACCTGAAAGTGAATGAATATTGAGATTCAACCCCTATTCCTCCTAGGTGGTTGGTGGATCATGTTTTTAAGAAAAGTAAGAAAATAGAGCAGCATTAGGGGTCATTAGGAGAGTTTTGAGCATGATAAGCAGAAGGATGAATGAATTTGGAGGTTGAAATCTCTGCACAGATTAGGATTGTTTCTTGTTACTACTCTTAGTTGGAAGAATCCCTGCTCTACCTTCAAAATGCGCATTCACTTCTTAATTCTTGGCTTATCTTGCAAGTTCTTACACTAAAAAGATGGGGATTTTGGTAGAAGTTCTTTCTAAATGTCACTCCAACACAACATGGGGAGGTTTTCTGCCTAAAGAAGTTCCCTAATTGAGTTTTACTTCTCTTTCTGTGAAATGAAAACAAGAAGCTTCAAAATAAGCAGAGCAAAAGAGTAGTCAGCTGGCAATGAGAACAATTATCTTCTGACTTAAGATCAAGCTTGTGTACAAAGGACAGTATAAACATGAAAGAGATTTGCAGCCTTTTGCTGAGTCTACACTTTGTCTTCAGTGTCCAAGCCGTTCGAGGTGAGTTTCAAATTCATTTTACCTTTTCTTCTTCTTCTTCTTCTTTTTTTTTTTTGTTGTCTCTGTCTCTTTCAGCCAATACTCTTCCTCATTCTCTGTTTTTTTCCACTTTCTGTTGCTACTGTCTTCTCTGCTATAGGAGAACAAACATCATAGACAGATAATCAGTAAAGCTGGAGAACTGGGCAAATGAAATACTGGGCAAACGGATGAGATGAGCGAGTTGACTGGTTAGTGAATGAGTAGAAAGGAGGACTAGACCCTGACAGTGAGTTAAAACATAGGAAAATGATGGTACCTGGATCAGATAGCAGTATGTTTGAACAGCGATGGGTAGACAGACACGAGGTGTGTAGGTGTATGGGCTATGGACAGCAACATCCAAATGAGCTGATCTTTTTCCCTGTAGTATTCTACAGCTGAAGGATAAAGAGACCATCTGTCAGATTCATTGTCAGATTGTCTGTCAGATTCCTCTAATTCGGTTTAGCATAGCTTGGAGTGGGAAGTGTCTTTCTAAATTTCTTAATATCTCTTCAGATCACCTAGTATTTCTTGTCTGCATAAAGACTAAGTCTGTACCTATCCTAAAAGTGTTGTCAGAAGGTAGGTGTGCCTCTTGGCATCTATCTTTTCCAAGACAGATGCCCATACCTGATGTCCATAGTAGCTAGGAGAATTATGCTGCCTGGCCCAGTATCAAAAGCAGGACATTTACCTTTGAGATCTCTGAAGGAATATGTGTTACAGTATAGGCCAGTCTGGTCTCTTAGATGATGCATTCCAAGTTTCAGCCTTATTTTCAGATCATTTTCTTTGTAGGATACTCCATTTTCTGGACCAGCAATGGATGTGCTAGAACTTGTTTTTGCACTTCTTTTCAGTAGAAGATGAAAGTAAGGTCATTCTTAGGCCTGCTAGCTATGACACCATCTTACTTTTTTGATGCTTTTGGCCTGCGAAAAGCCCTTCAGTCAAGCTGACAGCAGTTCTAGCAGGAAAAATTATTTGAGAGCTCACATTCATGTTTGCACGCTGACATCTCTGTCACCTGGAAGTCACATCCCAATAGTGTGGCACAGATACTACCTTCACAGAGGTTAAAGAAGGACAGGAGAAAGCAGCTTGCTTTGTAGTGCATATATCAATCATTTCTGTTTACTCAAATTGCTGGAAAGGGAGGCCTGTATTTTCCCATTTCACAGTTGCGAGATTTAAAAAAAAAATATTTTTCCTGACAAGTGATCTGGCCATTTCTGGGTCTTAAATCTAGTTCCAACAAACTGGTTTGGTCATTATTCTGAGCCCTAGCAAGATGTTTCCCAGAGCATCTTACTTTTAAGTATGCCTTCCTAGTGTTAAAACCTTTGCTAGGAGGTTAGTGGCAAAGAAGTCCCATTCAGCAACATAAAAAGATGAAATGATCACCAGCTCCCCATTGACTGTTGTATATATTAAACCCTGGAAATAATCTCTGTTTGGAAAGTGATGTCTTGGGGAGAATGATAGGCCCTAAAGCATAAAGATCTCACTTCATTCTTTGTTAATTTAGACCTGTAGCTTGTGTTGGACACTTGTGTATTGTGGAGATGTGCAGAATGACCGCAGCTCAGTGCATGTTTTCATGGAGCATCATCTTCTGGTATCATGAGGAGAGTGCTGTTATCTGTGCCTTCCCCTTTTAGCTGGCAGAACCTGTGTACCTCCCGCTATCTCTCACTATTTATGTTTGTAACTACTGCCTCCGTTTTGCCTGAATTCCTTTCTCAGAGAGTGTCCCAATGCAGAACTTGAGCTGCTACAATGACTACAACTCAGAGGTGACCTGCACATGGATAGAGCATTCAGAGGCGCATGCCTTCCTTGGTATGACTCTTCACCGAAGGTGTAATAATGAAATGTAAGTACCTGAGCTGTGCTCTGCTGGATAAGAGTCCAGAGGGACGTTGGTCACTGAACCTAGAAACGAAGACTGGAGTCCAGACAAGGGGTGGCAGCCAGGTTTTCAGACCACTTCTTTCTGTTATTTAGTGAAATTAAAAGTTGGAGCCGCTTCTGAGGCCTCTTCTTAGAAGGGAGAAACGAGTAGGGTGCAGTATTGGAGTTGTTTTTATTACTTTTTCAATTATTTTTCCCTAGTTTTGTTGTGAGATCATAGGTAAGAAATGTGATGGGGCATGTAGGTCACTGTAGATGAGGCGGAGAGAATGGTGCCGCAAGAAGTGTGGGCCTAAGGGTTGTTCATAAACCTATAAGGGATGAGATATTTCCCCAGTTATTTTGCCCTTGCAGGAGCATCACTGAGAACATAGTTTTGATCACTTCTGCAAAACATAAATAGACTGCGCATTTGTGAGACTGATAGGTTCATTTGTGCTATCAAGTTTCCTCCCAGAGATACTGGTCTGTTTATGTCATTATCTCCTTGCTACATCTGCTTCCTTATGGAAAGGGACCTGAGCCACCAGATCGGATCATTTGTGAGGATAAAAAAGGACGGAGAGGGAGGAATAGTCAAAGGAGAGAGGAAGATGGAAAGCTGAGAAGAAACTGAATTTGAGTCTGGGGATAAAGGAAAGCAGGCAAAAAGAAAGAAGCGTTGATTTTATTTTGAGGAAGAGAGAATTCATATACCTAAAAGTATCTGAAATCAGTGGGAGGTCTTTGGAACGGGCCCTAGAAGCTTTTGTTTCTGGGAAAAGAGAATGTAAAATTATTTGGACCTTTAGAGTATGCACTGAAACATTGTTACATGTTGGAGTGCTGTGTGTGGATCCTACAGTAAACATGAGTGGAGCTTGCTAATCAGACAAACAGGTATTAAGTCACACAGCTGACATCAAAATGGCCGATGATTAAATAAGGTTAGCTCATAGATGAAGAATACCTGACTAAATCCAAACTATGAGTTGATGCTAGTGTGCAGAAAGAAGCGTCTTCTACACTTCACATCCCTAGGGCTGACTCTTTTGGTTAACAGCACGCACCCATGTATGGTCAGTCCCATCCATACTTTAGGAATATCCCTATTTCCTTGCTAATATCCAACTTTTAAAAATAGTAGTATTGCTGAACAATGCTTGCTGACATATGGTTGGCTAGAAGACTCCATCCTGTCCTGGAAGACAGGATTGGACCTCAGACTTAATCTCTCTCATCTGAACTGGAACAGAATCACGGAATCACAGAATCACATAATAGCTGAGGTTGGAAGACACCTCTGGAGATCATCTGGTCCAACACCCCTGCTCAAGCAGGGTCAGTTGGGCAGGTTGCCCAGAACCGCATCCAGTCAGTTTTTGAGCATCTCCAGGGATGGAGACTCCACTGCCTCTCCAGGCAACCTGTTCCAGTGTTCAACCACCCTCACAGTGAAGAAGTGTTTTCTTATGTTCAGATGAAATTTCCTGTGTTTCAGTATGTGCCCATTGCGTCTTGTCCTGTCACTGGGCACCACTGAGAAGAGTCTAGCTCCACCTTCTTTACACTTTCCCATCAGATATTTATATACATTGATATTGATAACAGACCCCCTGAGCCTTCTCTTTTCCAGGCTAAACAGACCAGCTCTCTCAGCCTCTCCTTGTGTGTCAGATCCTCCAGTCCCTTAATCACCTTTGTGGCCCTTTGCTAGACTCACTCTACTAGGGCCATGTCTCTCTTGTACTGGAGACAGAACTGGACCCACTGGTCCAGATGTGGCCTCATCAGTACTGAAGAGGGAGGAAGGATCACGTCCCTTGACATGACAGCAACGCTCTTTCTCATGCAAGCCAGGATATCATTGACTTTCTTTGCCACGATGGTGCATTGCTAGCTCATGTTCAGCTTGTCCACCAGGACTCCTAGGTCCTTCTCTGCAGAGCTGCTTTCCAGCTGGTCAGCACCCAGTGGGTACTGGTATATGAAGTTATTTCTCCCCAGGTGCAGGACTTTGCATTTCCCTTTGTTGAACTTCATGAGGTTCCTCTCTTCCCATGTCTCCAGCTGGTCAAGGTCCCTCTGAATGGCAGCCCAGCCCTCTGGTGTATCAGCCATTCCTCTCTATTTGGTATTGCCTGCAAACTTGCTGAAGGGACATTCAGTCCCATCATCCAGGTCATTAATGAAGATGTTAAAAAGTATTGGACCCAGTATAGCTCCCTGCGGGACACTACTATTGACTGGCCTCCAGATGAACTGCGTGTTACTGATCACAATCCTCTGACTTTGGCAGCTCAGCCAGTTTTCAGTCCACCTCACTATCCACTTACCTATCCATATTCCATCAACTTGTCTATGACAATATTATGGGAGACACTGTCAAAAGCCTTACCAAAGTCAAGGTAAAGAACATTCACTGCTCTTCCCCTCATTCACCAAGCCCCGCCATGAGGACCAAGGCCTGCTAACGTGAGATTTCTTCCAATTGTCTAAAAGACTTATCTAGTTCTTCTTCCAGATCAGGCAGTCTATAGCAAACACCCACTACAGTGTCACTCACGTTAGTCTGCCCGCTGATCCTGACCAATAAGCTCTCAGCTGCCCTCTCGCATATCCCTAGGCAGATCTCTAGGCATTCCAGCTGCTCTCTCACATATAGGGCAACTCCCCGTTCCTCACCCTCCTGGCCTGTCCAAGAGCCTGTATCCATCCATTGCAGCATTCCAGCAATGGTGGAATGTGACCTATTCCACCACAAGAAAACAGTTTTATTTTAAACATCTACACCTAGTAGGTGTACACCTAATTTTATTTTAGACACCTACATGACAGATGATCACTTTTGTTTTTCAATGTAATAAAATTGGGAACAATGTAATATAACTGGGCATGAAGCCATAAGCATAAGCAAAATTCCAGAGGATAAAAAAAGAAGCAACATATCTCCTTAGCAGCTAAGGCTACTGCAAGCATATAAAGCTTATGCTCTCCTGTCTAGTTTAAAATATTGTTTTTAATCTTCAAGACACTCCTTAGCCGGGAGAAAGACTATCTAAAAGGATGCTTAACACTATGATGAAATCTTTGATGAATACCTAAGGTCCCTTGACAGAATAGAGCTCTCACTACTAAGGATATAAAAGTGCATTTTGTTTGAAGGAAAAAAAAATTAGCGTCTTTCTGCGGCTGGAAAATGAACTTCTTCAAGGAGCTAAGGATCTTTATAAACCTTTACTGCTTTTCACTCTGAGTGAAAGGTGTATTTCCATGACATTATTTTTCATCATACCATTTCTCACATAAAAATATGAGAATCTGTGCATTTAGGATAAAAGCTAATAAAAATAGAACAGTACCAAAACATAATATTCTGCTGCACGCTTTTGAAAAAGGAAGGCATTTGAGAAAAATTCTCATGTTAAAAATGTTTGTTATATTGATTAATGTGAAACAGAATAATAAGTGAAGTGATAATGAGGATATGAGAATCCAAGTAAATTGTAAGAGAAAGAATCAGATAGAACTGATTGTAGGTATTTAATTTTGGATTAATTCTATGTCTTCAAATCAGCTCTTTATAGATCACTTTTTCTATATACAGAAATACTGAAGAGATGCATTGCAAGCCCCAGGCAGAAAGTGAGTTCCATAAGGCTCCCAAATCCTATATCCACTGGCTTTGTCGAAGCACTGTAAACGCTTTTGGAATAGGGATAAATGATTTTTACAGCTTCAAACCTAACGAGACACTTCAAGCAGAACTGAACGTTCCTCTTTTCCAAAATGGTAAGGATTAAATATCATGTTCACATTTTCCCATGAATATTAGATATTCTTGAGAAACAAAAGTTAATAATCTTTCCTTTACTCTGCAGTCCAGTCAGGAAGTTTTGCCTTCTGTTGTGAAATCTATCCAATGGTTCCACATTGAGAGGACAGGCAGGGGAGGGGAAGGGAGAGGACAAGGTTCTGTGAGCAGCAGGGACCGGAAGAGGGTACTCATCCAGGAGATACTTGCTGTGGCAGGGATAAGATACTGTAGAGAATAGAAAGCTTAGGTAGGCTCCTCCCCACTTCATGCCCCTCTCCTCACTATTGCATCTCACATGTTGTACCTTCACCTTCCAGTTCAGCCCCTCCCACCTGAAAACCTTTCGGTCAGCTTGATGAGATCAGGAGACTTCTTGCTGACATGGAAAGTAGCTGCTGGAAACCAAGGGCTGGGCAATGCACTGAAGTATGAAGTGGCTTACAAGCAGGAGTGGGAGACGTGGGAGGTAAGAACAGAGGGCTGGGCTGCCCTGAGGTGGGCTGCACCCTTTAGGGTGGTCAAGATCCTGCGGTAAAAGCTGGGCAAATATCTGGCCTTTTGGTTCTCAGCCACTACCAAGAGATGCAATAAGTGCTGTTTCTGGTTAGGCAGAAGGGGCTTGGCTTGCACGGTGAAATATGGCCTGTTTTGAACCGAGGGCAAAGATCTACTCTTTGCAGAAAGAAGCACTGCATTTCACTTTTGAGTTGGAATTTGTTTTACACTGAGTCCCTCTTGACTGAAATTAAAGCACGTTTCAAGATGAACGTGTGGGCTCATGTGGGAAGACGGCAAAAAGCATGTGAAGCTCTTTCCCCGGAAGAAGAATGTTTTCAAAATTTTAAGAGAGTATTTCCTTTGATCTGTTGTTTGCCCACATCTGCCTGTGTTTCTACACCTGTCAGCCTGATCGGGCCAAATTCCCGCACAGTTCTGCCCTGGGCAGTGCTCTGAGCCTGCGCAGCTGATGCTGAAAACAATTGAGCCTCTCAAAGCTGCAAGAGCCAGCCCATCTGCAGGGGCAAATTTTATCTGGCAATGCCTGTGCCTTGTCCCGCCTGTGCTATGCAGGCAGCACGCACACAGAAGCCCCTCCGGGATGCAAGCACAGAGTGCTACACCATGGGTGTTGACTGTCACACGTGTGGGAGTGCTTGGAGATGCTATACTGCCCTCAGAAAGATCTCTCTGGGCTCTTCTCTGAGGGTCGCATCCTCTCTCCCCTCCTCCCTTCTCTTCCGTTCCCCTGTCCTCCCTCACTCCCTCCCTGCTTTCCCCCGCTAACAGAAAGCTGCCTCGCTCTCACTCTCCAACACCACACACTGCTATCTCAGCCATGAGGGCCTTGTTCCAGGCAGCAGCTACGTTGCCCGTGTGCGAGCCAGACCGGGGCAGACCAGTGGCTTCTCCGGGCAGTACAGCAAGTGGAGCACGGAGGTATCCTGGGAGACACCAGAAGGTAGCGTGGGGTGGAGCGGGGCCGTGTGGGGGTGGAAGGGCTGGCTGAGAAGCCAGGGCCTGTGGGATGTGGGTCGTCATGCTGTGCTGGCTGAGAATCGGGGCCTAGGCTGAGGAACGTTGGGGCATCTGCAGGGGAGGATGCAGGTGGTCCGTGGCCTTACTGCCCCCCACTCCAGCTTGTTTAATTTCTTCACTTCAGCTTGACTTGGCATCAGTGAAATGAGCCAGGTAAGAGGTGATGCAGACTTTTCATTCTTTGTTTAGCCCTACAGACCACAAAGGGGAATGGTATTAGGAGAAGCAGAATCATCCCTTTATAGCCACCACTTTCCACTGGGAATGTCGGATGCTCTTTTGTCATTGGGATACTCCTAGCACTAAAGAAATGGCTGAGGGCTGTGCCCCTCTGTGAGAGGACTCGTAAACTCTGTGGGGACTAGCTGTGCTTTGCGATATGGTTTGTGGAGAGGACATTTCTGGGCTTCTATTGTGGTGTGGGAATTGTATCCACCTGGATTAATGGGTATAATACTCCTGAGTTGCCTGGAGAAGTTTGAGATGGAAATAATAGCTAGTCTCCATCTTCCCTCTTCCAGAATGTTTTTCATTTTCATTTTATTGACCCTGCTCATGCATGCAGATGCAGACAATGGCTTTCTCCCAGACTTTGCCTGTTGCTTAGTTTGCTCTGATCTTCTCTGAAGGTGGCATACAGCCCAAGAACCTTCGCTGCCTCTTCGATGGTGTGGATCGTTTGACTTGCAGCTGGGAAGTGAAGAAAGAGATCATCACCTCTGTCCTCTTTGGCTTGTTCTTCAGGGCCACTTTGGCATCAGTGTACGTGACCTGCCCATGGCAGCGTGCCTGTGCCTCTCCCATGAAGGGTCTGCTCTGTCCTGTTCCCACTCATCTCAATCTCCATTTTCTCCCCTCAGAGAGGAGGAGTGCTCTCCTGTGCATGAGGAGATTTTGCCCCATGCCCCCTATGTGGTCCAGAGCTGTGAGATCACTGTTACCAACACCAGCAGTCAGAGCCAGTACCATGTAGCTGTCCGGACCAAAACGGAGGAGAAACTGATTGAAGCCTACAGAAACAGTAAGCCCCAGTGTCGTGCCTTGCTTCTCCTGGGAGTTTCTTGCGAAGGTGCCTGGATAGCAAGAAGGTGTGAGGATAGTGGTGGTGAGGAGAACTCAGCGGGAAGAGGAAGAGACCTGAACTGATGAAGAAAGGAGTGGGACACTGAAACAGGTCAGAGTTCTAGGAGAGGTGGCTTGTAGGTATGGAGTTGCTCAGGGACTCTTGTGATGCTGAGCAAACTGGCAGGAGTGTAAACTGCTCTGAAGAAATTCAGGATCTGGTCTAGAGCTCCTAGGTGAGTGACTGTCACCTTGCTGACTTTGCTGGGGTTAGAATGTCATCATCCTTTGTGGGGGTCCCAGCTGACAGGGAGCGGTGGTGAAAGACATTTGTGGGCAGTATGTCGTTAAGAGATTTCACAAGAACCCAGTGGAGCTGTTGGGAGATCTCACAGTTGGTCCTGCAGCACTGATGAGGCAGGGCTCCTCTGCTGAGTGAGGTGTGTCACACAGATCTTCTTTGCCTGTATGTGTCCAGAGGTGCCAGTGCTACTCTCCATGAGCTAAAGCTGGGGAGGATTCCTGCAGTGGGTGACAATATAAGTTAGGAGCTCCAAGAGAGCTGAAAATCTCTGGAAACGTGGCGGACGAGGACAGAAGTTTCAAATATTGCTTTACTGCTTATCTGCACACAGGGAGTGCCATCATATTAATGATTATGGATTTTCTTCTGTTTAATAGGGAGACTGGTTTGTTATATTTGACTAGGACAAGAAGATGTGAGGAATAAAGCGGTGTTAAGTAACTGAGACTATGTTGCATAATGCAACACTGTTTTCAGGCTTGGCCTCCATCCACAGTGGTGAATGGTAATGTCAGACTAGTATGCTGATACATATTCTGAGACATTGTGTGTGTTCCAGTTAAGGTGCTGCCACCTGCAAATGTATCGGTAACCATGAGAGAGAACCAGGAGTATGAACTGAGGTGGATAAAACACACTTTGCAGTATAGCTTCATAAAACAGAGATATGAAGTCCAATACTGGAAGCACAACCAATATGAAAAGGTAAGTCATAGGAAGCATGGGAATCCTGGATTTCTATTTGCAGAGTGAACGGGAAAGACTATTCCCCTCCCCTCTTCATGTGTGCTTCTTTCTTTCCCCTAGACTCTCCAGAGGATAAATATTAGCAACGACGAGCCTCCCTTCATCTTCACCCTGCAGATGCTGGGATCATCGACACGATACAGGGGAAAAATGCGTGCAAGGGTGAATACTCCTCTGGATTACAAGGGGCCTTGGAGTGAATGGAGTGAGGAGTTCACCTGGGAAACTGAGAATGGTACTTTTCACTTGGGCTGCTTTCATAACTTGTTGTGAAATGTTAATGGGGGAAGTGCTTCTATAGAGAAATACACTCTCCTAGCTAGGCTTGAAGCTAAATCCAGCCACGGCATAGTTGGGGTGGCTTAACAACATAGCTGTCTGATCAGCATCTTTGCAATACAAGGGCAGTGCTAATGAAGGGGGAAAGCAGGAACAGCCCTTTAAGCACTGTTCCTTTTTTCCTGCTCAAGACCACTACAACCAGCCTGAAAGGTTTCCACAGAGAGAATCCAGCAAACACCACACCCACAAGGTCATCCTTGTTTCTTGATTCTGACAGTCCGTGCTGCTATCAGAGCTTGAAGAGGCTGAGACTGCACGAGGACAGAATAAAACTCATCAGCCTCTTTTATTTGCAGAGTGACTATAGGATGGTGTTAAACGCACTGCAGAGTGCCCTGGAGATATAAACCTTAACCCGTTTTTCACTGTTTCTGAACCTAGAAGTAGAATGTCTGTTACCAGCGTGGCCTTGTGCCCAAGGTTATGTGATCTTGCATGAGCTGTCCTGAGGAAGCTTGAGTGTACTCAGGAAGAAATTATCATCTTCTTGATTACCACTTATGGTCATTAGGAAAGGAAGCCCTTTCTCGGACAATCTCTGAGACCCTCCATCTCTTCAGGACTGTACAGAATAAGGCATAGCCTGGACTTCTCCTAAAAACAAGGAATACAGAAATGAAGGTATATGCTCATTTTGGAGCAGGAGACAGAATAAGTCAGACCTAAGATGTCTGAAAACACAGCTAGTGTTCATGGTGAGGTGATATACCTACTCAGCTCTTTATTAGCATAAGTGGATCATTCTAATGCCATTGGAAAAGCTGTTCAGGTCACATCTGGTCTCTCCTACTTTGGAGGGTATCCCAACAGTTAGAAGGTCTCTTTATCCTATCACGTGGTGCACCGTTTACATTTCTTCCCTGATCTTGTTGCATGGCGAGTGACGAAAATGAAAAACCTGTTAGAGGAAGCAGCCACTCTGTGCGGGTAGCTCCCTATTTCTCTTTTCTCTGTTTCAGTTCTGTCACCAGTGGTTCTCCCAGTGATGCTCCCAGCCATCATCATCACTTTGCTAATAATTGCTCATTGCAGCTATAGGTATCTCCTCAGGTAGGTTTGCATTGTGACTTGGAGATTTAGCAGCATGTTGGCCATGCAAATGGAATAAAGGGTGAAAAACCGAGGGCGAGGCACTGCTCATCCAGCATGAGAGAGTGCGCTATGTGGACATCAGCCTTGGTGTGCAAAGGGGAGTCCTGTGCGTGTCCGCGTGCAGATGAGACTTGGGTTGTGGTGTTTCAGGGCCTTGGTGGTGCCTTGTTGTGCAGAGCAGCACTGTGTGTGTGTGTGTGTGCGTGTGTTTGCGTGTGCGGTGTAATCTTTTCCCTTTGCAGCCTAGGCAAGAAGCAAATCTTGGAACCTCTGTGTTGTTGTTGCAGGAAGAAGAAAAACTGGGAGGAGAAGATTCCAAACCCCAGCAAGAGTCTCCTGATCCAGAGCTACTTGCAGGTAAAAGGGAATTGTGCCATGCAGGGTTCACCTGCCATGCAGGATTCCCTTTTTTTTTCAGGACTTAATAGTATTAAGAATCTTAACAATAATAATAATAATCTGATTAGCTTTTCTGTCTCCTGTTCCACAATGATACCCCACAATACCTTCAGTACTCTATTCCTTGTTTTTAGGAGAAGACCAAGCATCTTTACCATAACTGTAACCTTACATTTGTACTAGCAGATTTCTGTGATTGTGCTTGTCAGCTTCACAGTTTTCTAAAATCAAACTAGAATTTTTTCAGTGGTCTAAAGTTTTAACTGATTGAAATAATCTAGTGCCTTTAGCAAATTGACCAACTGGTGATTTCTTCCATCTCCAAACAGCAGTCAACATTGATTCAAATTTTTTTAGGATGGGCTTTTAGCCTTGTTTAAGAAGCTTTCATTTTTCTGGAACAAACATTACAACATGTCTGCCTATTACCAAGACAAGCATTCTTTATTGGAAAGCAAAGCCAATGCTTAGGTAGCATTAAATTAAGCCAGTGTAAGTAAGAAAAAATTGGAAAACTAACATGTGAGAAGGATAGAATAGGCATCTCTCTAGATTTTGGCTGTAAAACTCTTCTAGTTTTGCAAGATTCTTCTAGTTTTTCTGATTCTATAATACTTCTTTTCCCCCACATACATATATATTTTTTATTACAGTTACTTCTATTTTAAGTTCATAGGGAACATATTACAGTGCATTTAGATACATGGCAATACAATGAGTATGGTTTACAACCTGGCCTTTGTGTGAGGCAAATGGACTCTTAACTTACAGTATCTATATGCTTGAGTGAAGGACTTAACAGCTGTTTGTTAAGCATCTCATGTTTGCTATTTTGATGTAAAATGGACTTCCACTGTAATGACCTAGTTTTACACATCATTTTCAAATAGATGGGAAAAACTAAGTATGGATGCTCCTGTGCCAGAAGACATAATATTTATGCTTATACTAAAGTCTCAAGTTAGTTTATTTTGCCTGGTCTCTACGGTAAAATTTAAAAATGAACGTTTCCCTCCTTTTAGCAAGGTACCTTATCCTAAACTTTGTAAACATCCCAGTAATTCTGTTTCTCTGGTCAGCAGTTACAGGACAGTCATTATACACCTACAAGTGAAATTTTGCCCAGAGCCATGAGGCTCTTGATTCTACTGCCAGTGAGAAACCTCTTTTTCCTCATCTCTACTTTTTCTTTTTCAGAAAGTACACCCAGGAAACTGGCTGACAAGCAGTCAGCTAGACTTCAACAAGCACAACCTTTCTGAGAAGATGGAGCAGGCTAGTTTCCTACAAGTTGTGGACAGGTTAGTAAACTTTGCAGTGACACTGTTTGTGAAATTCTCAAGGAGGTCCCTAAACCATGGGAGGATAAAATTAAATGTTCTGTCACCCGAAAGGTCTATGCCAGTTGCTTTTGAGGACGAGACTTTTTTTTTTTTTTTTTTTTTTTGCTCTCTGGGTTAATCTGCTCTCCAAAGAAAGGGTTTTTTTTCTAATCTTTTGTGTAGCTATGCGTGTAACTAAGCTTCTGTTTATATGTAATATTCATCACAAAAATATTTCTCAATAGCAGCTTTTAACTTTCCCACATTCAGGCAGATGAAGATTTTGGCGGAGTCCCCCGAAGGGCAGGCTGAAAAGGCAGAGGCTTCCTTCATTGCGTTGGATCTACAGAACCTATACCATGCTTTAGATATGCCAGAGCATGCCCCAGTTGTCTGCCCATCAAGTCAGATTGCAGATCCTTCCTTTTCTATTTCAAAGGCGAACACTGCTGATGCAAGTATTGCTTCCCAGACAGCAGTCCCTTGCTTTGATTTCAATGGTCCATACTTGTACAGGCCAGTGATGCCCTCTCAGCCCGATATGCATCAGGCCCTTCAAGCAGTCCCAGCGGGAATACATGGGAAATAAGCGTCACTTCAGTATGTGACCCTCCCAAAGGAAGCCTGTCCCCAGCCTCCTCAGAGGCAGGCACCCTCCTTCCCCAGCCTCCCCTGCCCCCACGCCGGAAGGAAATGATGCAGCATCTCGGCGGGGAAGAAATCTCACCAGCCCAACCAGCCTGTGGGAAATGCATGAATGTGAGGCCGGAACGGCAGAAATCTCCAATGGCTCTTAGCCGTACTGGCTCTGCCCAGCAGTGCTCCTTGAGCTACATCACCACAGACAGCCTCTTACTGCCATCAGCCAGACACTCCAACCACCTGTCCCTCGCCACTGATGGAGAATTAGCGTCTGACTCACAGGAGATCCAGCCCCCCGATGACTGCTTTTGCCATGAGTTTTCTCCTGGGAAATCTGATGCCCTGCTTGCAGTTTCAGGTCAAACGCCAAACCCTTCTCCTCAATTGCACCTGGATGCATTTGGGGACTATCTTACTGTCCCTCCAAGTCCCCATGGACCGTCAGAATCCACAAATGTTTCCTTACCTGTCTTACAGAAGGGAAATAATCTTTCTAAAGAGCAGCCTTTATCAGAGGGTAATTTGGTGGTCTTAAACCCTGATAGCACTGAGCCAGTTTTCCTTTGTGAGGTTGGTGACTATTGCTTCCCTGGCCTAAAACCTAGTGAGAAGATGCATATGAGCCAGGAAGATACCCAAGTCAAGAAACCTTCTGATGGCAGGACAGCATCTGGGAAACCTGTATCTGTTGATGAATCCACCACTGGCAAAGAACAGAATGCATCAAAAATGCAGGCTATTCATCTTTTCAAAAGCCTGAAATTGGAGGATTACTTTTCCTGGCAGCAGTCTTCGAGGCTCACAGAAATCTGTTAAAGCAGCAAATATTAATGAATGCCAAGACCACAGGTAACTGAAAGAGACTGCAACTATCTCATGAAAATGAACCCCATTCTTCCCTTCCATCCAGGAAAAAATAAGCAGCAATTCCCTTTTCCAGCTTCCAGTTCAACATGGTGAATGACTTCAAGTAGCTCAATCTTCTTCTCAATGGCCTTCACAGATCCAGCATGAAAGACAATCCAAATACCACCATTTTGAGAGAGCTGGCGTTTTTCAAATATTCTCACTCATCCACAGTGAGCATTTTAGCCTTCTTATGGTCCTGGTAAAAATGCGATCGATCACAGTCATCCTCCCATAATACCAAACTGCCTATGGCAAATTCACGGCAGGAAATGCAGACTTCACAGCATGACATGTTACCAGATTGAAACTGTCTCAGAAACTTTGGAAAGAAAACTTTTACTTTCTTAAGAATAGGGTTGTTTTTTTTTTTTTGTGTGTGAAATAGAGCTAAGAGATCAAAGACCTTTCATATCTCTCCCTTTCCACTACCGGGATGGAACTAGTATTGTCTAAAATGCAACAAAATAGACGGTAACAGAAGGATAAAACAAATATGAGAAAAATGTGTTGAAGTCCAGAAAACCTGTCATAATGTTAAGGTGCAATATATTGTAGAATATTCTGCAAGGGGAAGAAGGAGACTGCTGAGATACATAAAGTAGGCTGTAGGAAAACATGGGGAAGATAAGTATTGAAAGAAAACCAGAGAACTCATAAGGTGGAGTAAGAGGAAGGGAGTGGGGAAGGTAACGAAATGGCAGGGGAGAAATGTTATGAAGGTGCACAAGCTTGGATCTCTCTTTTTTTTTTTCCCCTAAGTGTTAAAATACTGTGTGAGTATCTTTTAAGTCCATTGGCTGTTTATGTATGATATAATATAGCTTAACTATGTAATTCATGCTTAGTTTTTTTTTTTTTTAAGTAATAAACTGTGTTCAGAAAGGACCTATTTTTTTCCAGTTTTGCTGTAAAGAAAATGGTGCAAGGTAAGAGCACACTGATTCAGGGCTGCCTGTGTGTTATCAGTAAAAAGGTTTTAGTTTCAGATCTATAGGTGGGCTTGCATTCGAAAACCATCTGTTTTTTGTTTTGCTTTTTGTTTTTGTTTTTTTTCCAAATACATAAGTGGAACTATTAAAAATATTCTTTCTTCCTATAGAGCTTTCCTTTCATATGTTTAGAGCATCATGGTTACAATAACATTACTATTACCTCATCTGATGAATCCTTAAAAAATTCTATAGGTTCAGATATGTCACCTATGAGGTAGGATGTTTTCTCCTGATTTTGCTACATTATTTGGCAGATCTAAAGAGAGAGAGTTCAGTGTTTGCGTCAGCTGATTCCTCCTGCTATGTCAATTGGACACTACCAGCTCCGAAACTGCAGTGAAATGCATTATTTTTTCATAATTTAAATGCTTAAATATTATTTTTAAAACTAAAAGATGTGAAAATTCAATCTGGTGCTCTGGACAGCAACAGGCAGGCAGCTGCAGCCTCTGACAGAGCAGAATATTCAAGAACACCTTAAGGGATTTTTCAATGTGGATGAGGCCCATTTGCTCTGTAATCAGAACTCTGAGAACTTCCCATTCCTCGTGTACTTCTACACCTTGCTGGGCATTTGCAGGTGCTACTATTGGAGGAAGGATTTACAGGTAGATGAACATTTGATGTGATGCCGCAGAGCAGCTATTATGATCATAAGATCACTTCAGGAGCCTGGAATGCTATATTCCTTCCAGAGTAATATGTCATCCTTCCAGAGTAATATGTCAGCACCAGGCTAGGGGAACTGAATACTGTTTTTCTTTTACAACCATAAAAATAATTTTGAAACAAAATGAGTTCTCGCTCTAGGGACTAGTTGTTCATTATCCATCTAAGCATATTAAACAAAATATGTAAACAACATCGGAAGCAGGGATCAGAACCTATGACTCTTTCATGCTGGAGGAGTCTGCTTCTTACTGGGTTACAGAGTCAAGGCTGCCCCGAACTTCGTTCTGCTGCTGATCCTATGAATCTTACATTCCTTTCTGCATGAGGTCCAGCTAGAGTAGGATTGATAAAAAGTATTTGAAATCCAGTGGCCTGGTGATTCAAGAATGTAGGAACTGTTGTGAATCCCAGAGCTTCGAATTCCTGATCATCAGCTTGAGCACAAAGTTACTGCGCAAAAGGAGACTGCTGCTACCTTCCCCAATGCTAGGTACTGATACGTAGGAGAGGACTCAGCATTCTGGTGAGTCAGAAGCCAATTATGATATGTTCCTTTGTGTAGAGTTTCCCACTGAATAGTTCCTGAGTGGCTCTTTGCCCTATGTATTCGAGAGATGATTCACCCAGGTTTCCTACATAGTCAAAGAAAGAGGCACCTCAACTAGTGCTTTAAATCACCTTTTACAGCTGTATAACTATTTACCTTAAACATGTAGTTGTGGAGTCTTTGCAACCCTTTCCTCAAGGGAAACATATGTCCAAACACCAAAGATTCTGCTGGTATTTTAATGGTAGGCAATTTTCTCTCAGTTCCTCTGAAATAATCAGTTTATTATTCCCCGATCAGAAGCCTTCTCAGTCGGAAATATATTACCTGAGTTTTCATGAGATTAGAGTAGTAAGTATGTTGTGGCCTCAATAGTTCTAATTAAGATCTATGCTGAACTAGTCTGTTGTTCTGTTTCCAATAGCCTGACAGTTGCCTTTTGTGTAAGGAAGGAAAATGAGGGTGGATGGCTTGCTAGAAAAGGAAGCCTGCAGTGGAAAGCCCTCCAAGGGCTCAAAGAACGTTACTTGGCATATTTGTGAGAATCCTATATCTTTCTCTCCACATGGTAATGGAAAACAAACCCAACCCACCCTGCAAAACCCTGAGTAGTTTCTTGTTTGTTCACTGTCAAACACATTTGTACACATGGTCTCATGCCCATACAGCTCCACTGAATGCTCTCCACTGTTTCTCCTCACTCCCTGTGTGCTCCCTCTGTTCTCACTACAGTAATGAATATACTGTGAAAAGAAACCCTGATTGTCACGGTCAGTAATTGGGAAATAAGTAGCACAATGCCTTCGTGCCCATTTTGGCCCTTTAACTCCCTCCTAGTGGCTGAAAGATTTCGGTATGTTCTAGCTTTGATCCTGACAGCTTTTCATGTTACACCACAGATGTTTCACCATGGTGTTAGGTGAGTGGACCCAGACTGCTTTGCAAACTTGCTCCATATGAGCCAGCGTTAGGTCAAAAGCTGTGCTGGTTCATTGTGTCCTTGCCAGTATGTCGGTAGGGGAATGTATGTTCCTCCTTGTTTAAGGTTAACTTGTCTGTGTAGAAAGCTAGATGTAAAACCATCTAAAACTCTTAGCTGGCTTTTCATATTTTCTTTTTTAAAATATTCCATCTCCACATTCAGTGTGTGCACATACATTGCAAACTTCTGAGTCGAGGACTTTTGCCTCTGCTGTAGCTGGGTAGAATACTTCTAATCTGCTTGTCTTTCACAGGCATTCACAGGCACACAGGATGTTACCATACACTTTTTAGTTTCATCCATTCACTCTAGATACATGATGGCATGCTGTTTCAATATACAAAGATACCATTTTCTTACCATTCTACTTAGAGCAGAGATTATAATACAGGAACATAAGAATAGCTGTACTGGGTCAGTCACTCCATCTTGCTCACTATTTTGTCTCTGCCAATAGCTTATAATGGATGCGTAAAGCCAGAGTATAATAAACAGGGAAAAGTATAAAGTAAATCAGTAAATCCTTCACTGACATGTTTACTGGGCATCTGGCCCAGAGCCTTCCAGAGATGGAGGTTGCATCTAGGCTGGTGTAGGTAGTATGTACTAATGGTTCTAGCCCATAGAGATGTAGCTAATCCTTTTTAAAAACCACTTAATTTTTGACTTCATCTCACCTGATAGTATAGTATTCCTTAATTTATTTATGAATAAAAAATATCCAAACAAAAACAGAGCCACAATTTCCTGTTTTCA